GCTGGTATCCATAATGGGAAATTATGAAAAAATAAAAGGAGTTTGGACATCCATGCCAATTTTATTAAGTTTGCATGAACAACCACGGAGCGGGGAACTTCCACCATTCCTGATTGTGAAATCTAGTCGGCAAAAGTAAAATATTGTCTAAAATGTAGTCTGTGGGGGGAATTATTTATTATAATACCCAAATACTTTAGAGCAGAGACGACCTTAAGTTGTGCAAGTGAAAAAAGTAGAGGGATGGAAAGTGGATCCCATGGTAGCTATGTAGATTTCTCCCAATTGATATGTATTTCAGAGAATTTTCCCAAACTCTTTAATATGATACATAATAGATGGTAAGGAAAATTGGGTGTTTGGTGTATCTCAACTAAACCCTATAACATGGGGGGAAATTCGTAATAAAAAGGCCAAAGGGTCAATTACTATATCAAAAAGAAGGGGTGATAGTGGACATCCCTGTCTTGTCCCTCAAAAAAGTTTAAAAAAAAAGGGACTGCAGACCATTTACTCTAACAGAGGCCTTTGGGGCAGCATATAGCAGCTTCACCCAAGTGCAAAAATTAAATCCCATTTGTTACCTATCCAAAACCGCCAAAAGGTATAGCCACTCAACGCTGTCAAATGCTTTTATAGTATCTAATGCCAGAAGGGCTCTGTTATTATCATCAGTTATCGGGACTTGCATATTCAGATAGGCTCATCTAATATTCACTGCAATGAAACAATTAGGCTGATTGTGATGTATAATATGTGGAATAACTTTCTTAAGTATATTTGCAAGTACCTTAGCTAGAATCTTGACATCAGTAGAAAGTAAAGAAAAAAAGAAAAAAAGTCTGTATGATTCTGCATATAGGGGGGGGGGGGGGGGTCTCTATCCTTTTTGGGTATGACCACTATAGTCTCCTCATACTTTGATGAAAGAAGCCTACCATTAGAAAAGGTCTCAATAAAAGTGAGCAATAGAGGAGGAAGTAACACACCTCCACAGTTTTTAAATACCTCTATGGGGACACCGTCAGTGCCAAGTACTTTATGGTTAGGAAATTCAGCTACTGCTGCATCTCCAACTCCTGTAATGTAATCCTGGTGTTCAACAGAGATCTATCGGCATCACTAAGTGTAGGGAGTGAAATCACATCCAAATATGTTTTAAGCTCTGCAGCAGAATAACATGTCCTAGAGAAAAACACTTTAAATTCATTCAGAAAATATAAAGCACTGTCTGAATAATGTCCATGCTGAGCAGCCAACCTCCTGTCTTCAGAATACACCAGACCAGCTGCTCAGCACAGTACCTGGAAGCAAGTGGAGAACATTGAAGCAGTGGTGTCTTCTCTAGTCATTTTCTCAAGGTGCATTGGCCAGGTGTGGTTTATACATAGTTACATTGGTCCAAGCTGGGCCAATGTAACTATGTAAAAATATATTATGCCTAGAATTCCTCTTTAATGCAGCAGTGAGATAACCAAAATATAAACTATATACATAACAAAGCTAAACAGGATTAAAACAATCTGTTTTTTCTAATGCACTTGGTACAGGTTAACTTAAAATTGTTTGGATTTTTTACAGTGTATAATGCATTACTTCATAGCTATGGAGAACACAAGGTCACTGTGTTTGATTCTTGCTCTCAGCAGAAGTAATTAAGGGTAGGCTCTTTTCCTTCCACATACAGGCTCTAAGTATTTGTTCTATTTCTCTATGTTGCTTTAGGCAAGAATCAAGGAGGACCTTGTGATTACTGCTCAGATTCCCTCGGCATAAGGCCAAATGCCTCCTTTGTACAACAGAAGATTCAGTCAACACATCAAACATAGCAAACAAGTGTTGGTTTCTGGAAATTTTGAAAAGAGAAAAGTGCCTCTTGGCAACGTATATCAAGCTTGATACAAGTAGGAAATCAAGTATCATTTTCACTTCAGTCTTTAAATGTGTGAAGCTTTAAATATGTGCAGCTTTTATTTTTTTTTTTTTAGAAAAGGACAGGTGATGATATAAAATGCAATCAAAAGACTTAATATTTCATCTAAGTATAGTTTATACTAAAAATTGCACTTCATAGCTTCATAAGCTGGCCAATATATAAAATAATTTATATATTTTGAAAGAGAAAGAATGTAAAATATCCCATTTTTCAATCACAGAAAAACACCTATGATTTTTAATTCTGAGCTTGAAACTTAAGATGCAGTAACTAATTTCTGCATGAAAACATGCTAGGGGCTTCTGCTCACAAATTACTCTTTGCTTTATGTAATGGGATACTCTTGCTCAGTGGTATACATAAGTAAAAAAGCATTACCCCTTAGAATGTGTAATTTTGAGAATTAGGCACATTTGTAATTGGTGGATGTTTGTCATGAATCCCCCTGATCTGGGAAATGCAATCTGCTCTGTTAAATGTAAAAAAAGACTTTCACTATTTATTACTATCAAAGTGGCATTAATAAAAATATTTTGTGATATCTTCCAAACCTACAAAAAAACAGAGAATTCTATTTTTACAATTTGACCTTAATTACATTTTGTTGGGTTTCAACCTTTATTGGCAGGGTGTTTTTAAGAATGACTCTGGTATGCTAACATTCATACACTGACAACTATATCAAAATCCAGTATCCATAAAAATAGACTGAAAACTTGAAAGCCAATATGTACACCATTAAATAAAACTGAATATAAAAATTTTTTTACTTGTGAGCCAATAAGGTGTATAATAAACGGCTTCTATCAATAAGATCGCAGGCTATCTTGCTCACCCCCTCATAAATGTGAGTTATCAGTGCATACAAATGAAGAAAATATAGATGCCGCACTCTATCAAGACCTATTTCCTGTATATAGTATAAAAAACTGTATTTGCGTTAAATCTCTAATAGCTGCATAATCTCTTATGTGTAACCATACATGATTGTGATGCCAATCAATACCCAAACATGTGTTGGTAATAATGGATAAATGAATTTAAAAAATATATAAGTTGGTGATAAAAAAAAAAATTTAATTCTGTGCAAAATTACTCAAATTTGTGTCCTTCGATGATTACATAAATAATCCAATTAATAAATGAATAAAAAAATAAAATAAAAATTGAGAAATATGGAAAATAAATAAAAGGTAAAAATTCAATGAATTTTTGTGCAAAAACGCAAAACAAACTTGGTGCAGAGTTCAGCAGGGATGAGATATCTGTGTGCTTTCCTTCCAATCAGCCTGAGGTAATGCAGATAAAGGTTGAAGATAGAGGGCTACTGTGTAAGCCTGAATGGTCATATGGATCTCTCCCTCCTCAGATCTTTCCTTGATCCAGCCCTTTAAGTATTCCTCAAACGGATCATGTAGATAGAGAAAAGTGCATAATGCTTTATCGTTGATAAAAATAAACACTTTAATATGCGCCCAGTATGCACTCACATTGATTAATAACAATCTGCACTTTGTATAATAGACGCTTAAAGCGGTAAAGACCAGCCTCTCGGGTGTGCTCGCATACCCTACCAGTGCTCGCCGTGTAAGGATGCGTGGTGATGTCACTGCCCCTCCCCAACGCATATCTCCACAGGGATTCGTGGCTTCGTCCGGGGGATGTAGTATCGCCATATATAACTTTGTTATATATTTTTCAAATTCATTTATTCATTATTACCAACACATGTTTGGGTATTGATTGGCATCACAATTATGTATGGTTACACATAAGAGATTATGCAGCTATTAGAGATTTAATGCAAATACAGTTTTTATACTATATACAGGAAATAGGTCTTGATAGAGCACGGCATCTATATTTTCTTCATTTGTATGCACCATTAAATCAAAGCCCTATAGGATTCCCAAGTACTGGATAACACTAGAAATTCTGGATGAACCCTCTGCACACTGCTATAGCCTTTCTAGCAAACTTTGCAAAGAAAAAAAGGAGATTTTTGGTTCACGCATATTGCAATACGTGTTTAAACTGTCCAAGTGCGTCAAATGCATCAAAGTAGTCGCTCTATGGCCAGTCCCTAACCTGCTCTCCAAATGCTAAGGTGGACATAGTGACAATATGGGCAGATAGACACAAACACTAGGTAAGGCACACATACTGTAATAAATGTCCCCGTTATTAGAGGTATCTCTATACCTTTCTTTATCTCTATACCTACTGAGGTTCTTTTTCTTAATTGCACATTTAGTATGTAAACATTTACCTCTAGATATCTTTAAGTGACCTGTCAATTAAGCAAATATTCCAGAATAGGTATATCTGCAAAAGGACCAACACTTACCTCTCCTGCTACCTGAACCATTAGAATTCTGCTGAGCTCAACAGGAATCCTCCACTGAAGTCGACTGGAAAGTAAAACTTTCAGGAGTGTAAGTTTCCTTGGTACCCCACAGCACTCCGGGGCTCCATTGTTTTTCCTGCTAATTTCCATATCTATTGAATATAGGATACAGTGGTAACATGGAGGTCAGAAGGAAAAATTTTAAAGAGCAGGGGACAAAGGATATTGACACTTCTGTAAATGTTGGTTTCCTGACAGACCTCAGCAGATAATTTCTCTTGAATAAAGAGGCACTGTGATGACATATGCAGTAGGTGAGCATATCTGAAGAATATATTTTTAAAAAAATATATATTTTAAAAAATATTCTTCAGATTTTTTTTAACATATATAAAAAAAGTAATTTTAACATATATTTTTACATATCTTTGTGAATGCATTCCAAAATTGTAGATTTGTATTTTTAACCACCTCCCGCCCGCCATATAAGGAAATGATGGGCGCAAGGTGGTTCTCTCATTCTGGGAGGACGTCATATGACGTCCTCCCACTCTAACCTTGCATGTGCACACCTGGGGTCACACATCATGGCGACCGGTGGTGCGCTGTGTCCCTGGGACACAGCGGATCACTGATCAACTGTAAAAGCCGAAGACATCGGCTCTGTCATGTGATCAGCTGTGTCCAATCACAGCTGATCGCATGTAAATAAGGAAATGCCGGTTATCGGAATTTCTCTCTTCACGAGCTGTCACGCTGACAGCTCGTGAGGAGAGAAGAGCCGGTAATTGGCATTCCTTAGAGGGGACATGTACACTGATCATCAGGGCACTGAGGATCAGTGTGCTCTGATGATCAGTGTAGCCCCAACAGTGCCACATGTCAGTGTCCATCAATGCCACCTGTCAGTGCTCATCAATGCTAACTGTCAGTGCCACATCAATGCCACATACTATATGAGTACCTACCAGTGCACATCAATGCCACATGTCAGTGCCCATCTGAGCTGCCTATCAGTGCCAGACAGTGCCACCTACCAATGCCAGTCACTGCCACCTATCAGTGCTGCCAGTCAGTGCCGCCTATCAGTGCCAGTCAGTGCCGCATATCAGTACACATCAGTGCCACCTATCAGTGTCCATCAGTGCTGCCTATCAGTGAAGCCTAACAGTGCCAGTCAGTGCCACCTAACAGTGCCAGTCAGTACCAACTGTCAGTGCCATATGAGTGCTGCCTTTTAGTGCCCATCAGTGATGCCTGTCAATGCCCATCAGTGCCACCTACCAGTGCCTCCTCATCAGTGTCCATCAGTGCCCCCTATCAGTGCCCATCAGTGCAGCCTATCAGTGCCATCACTGCAGACTCATTAGCGCACATCAGTGAAGGAGAAAAAATCACTTTTTAACAAAATTTTATAACAGAAAAAACTTTTTTTAAAAAAAAAATTTTTAGGTTGTTTTTGGTTTGTTTAGCAAAAAATAAAAAACCCAGAGGTGATTAAATACCACCAAAACAAAGCTCTATCTGTCTCAAAAAAATTATAAAAATGTCATATGGGTACAGTGTTCTATGACCGCGCAATTGTCATTCAAAGTGCAACAGTGCTGAAACCTGAAAATTGGCCTGGGCAGGAAGGGGGTATAAGTGCCCTGTAGGCAAGTGGTTAAAGACATACAGTATATATGAAATGTATTTTTTAAAAATATTTTTCATATATTTTGTAATAAAAACGCATTTCAACATACAGTGTGTATATATATATATATATATATATATATATATAATATATTTTGAAATATTTTTAATATGGCCAAAATTGTAGCATTTCAGATATATGTCAATATATGTGGGAAAAATATTTTTTAAATATATTTCAAATATATTTTTCTTCCATATGGGTATTTGCACTATTTATTTGCAGATATATCCTTTTCAAAATGTTTGCTTTAGTAACTTTAGTCACTTTAATGGGAAAATAATTTTTTATGCCACCTTCTAATATAATTAATGAAAAAAGAAACACCAGGTGACTACACTCCTGCTTGAATATTATGGGTGTCAGCTTTTCAAATCATGTCTTTCTTGGACTATTTGGAGCTTTGGCAATGCTGACTACAAGGATCAAATGATGTTAGAAGTAATTTCTACATTAAAAAAAAATTAGGATCCTAAAATGTTCACTTTTGATAACTACAGGACGTTTATTTTTCAAGGCAGCTGATAAAAGCCACATGTGGGTGATTTCCATATACTAAAGAATTTATCAAATCTGTTTTAGGCTTTTTTTTAAGGTGCACAAGCTGCAAAGCAAAACTGTATCAAACATATGCAGTATTTCAGTTAAATATTGTCTCCATAAAATTGAAAGTAAATCAAGACATCAATATATAAAAAGCTAGGAATGGCTTCTTTTATAGAAGGAAGGGTTTTATTAGGATATTTGAATCATTTATTAGCTAGAATGATGGTAGAGATACTGTACTGTGATAAAAAAATAATGCCTTTTTTTCTAGGCTTCAACCTATTTGAAGTTAGTAAGCAACCAGGAAACTGAAACACTACCCAGGAAAAATTGCAATGTGGGGCAGATGCCTCCAGTCTAGTCAGCCTCTGTATATAGCTGATTACTGGAAGAGTTTGAGAAGGTTGTTATTAGTGATGAGTAATCATGAGCTAATGCTAAGACCAAACTCAATTTGACCTGAACCCACTTGAAGCTGTCACCTATTCAGCTATCGCTGGGGAATTCAACACCCCACAGCCTCATGTAATAAAGGAATGGGAATACTGGTGACATCATTGCCCTTATATAATCAGATTGCCATATTTGGTCAATGACACTGACCAAATATGACCACCATGGAGCCATATTAGGTCAACGATGCCACCAACATCCCTGCTCCTTTTTTATTTGCAACTGCAGGGAAGACACAGTGGAGTTTATTTACTAAAGCTGGAGAGTCCATAATCAGACTCCCTTCTGCATAGAAACCAATCAGCTTCTAACCTCAGCTTGTTCAATGAAGCTTTGGCAATGAAACCTGGAAGCTGATTGGTTTCTATGCAGAAGGGAGTCTGATTTTGGACTCTCCAGCTTTAGTAAATAAACCCCAGTAAGTCTCTAGCTGATTGGTTTGGTGGCCTGCTATCATGTTAAAGCTCCCCACAGATTCACCTCAAACCTTAGCTCATCACTAGTCATTATAATGTTAGCATACAGACGCTTAAAGACATATCACTGTTTAAAGTGGACCTAAAACCTAACTGGATGATATTTAGTTTGATGAAGCATTGTGTATCACAAACCAATGATCTCCTGAAACATCTTTCAACGATTTTCTATCTACATGCACTCTCTCAAACTCTTAATATTCTAGGTATTTATTAGTACTAAAAATGCTCAATGGATATTGAGCTTCTAATGCACTTCCACTGCACTGAGATATTCAGTATATGGTATGTAAGCGTGTCATATGCTTTAACAGAGACTTAAAGGTAATATAAAGCTTCTTTTCTGTGTGTTTTTTTTTTAAATAACAAACACATCATACTTACCTGTTCTGTGCAGGAGTTTTGCACAGAGCAGCCCCAATCCACTCCTTTTTACATTCCGTGCCAACACTCCTGGGTCCTCCCCCTTCACCAGTGCCCCCATAACAAGCTGATTGCTATGGGGGCACTAATGCATGCTCACTCCCGAGCCCCACTCTATGCATCCATAAGACATATAGGGCCAAGTCTCTGCCCTGTCCCCTGCTCTCTCCTCATTGACTCACTGGTTCTGATTGACAGAATTGGGAGCCAATGGCTCCCTCTGCTGTGTCTCAGTCAATGAGAAGAGAGAGACCCGGGACAGAAAAGGCTCCCGTGCACATCACTGGACCGAGAGGGGGCTCAGGTAAGTATTAGGGGGGCTGTGGAGGGAGCAGCACACACAAAGTTTTTAATCTTCATGCATACAATGCATGAAGGTAAAAAAATCTTGAGTCTTTGGAGCCACCTTAAATCTGATGGTTAAACAACTTATATTTTGCCTTCCCTGTTTGTTTTTCTCCCTCCTCCGCTAATAACAATTTTAAAATTAAACCTATCTGTTTTCATGACATACCTTGTTTTCATGTAACTACTATGTGATCACTGGATCTCTGTTCTTAGCCTCTTGGCTGGTTGGAGGGACTGGTAGGGTGCTGTACGTAGCTTCCTGAAAACATCACAGCACCCTATCTCAGTACTCTTCTCAAGAGCCCACAACCTTTATGCAAGCAGTGAAGTGGCTCTTTGGAGGAGTTATGCAAATATCCAAAAACCTTGATGGGTGCACATCAGTCTGGAGGAGTGGGTGTTTCTAGGCAGGCTACATTTGCATGCAGACCACCCTAGTTAACGAGGGGCGGACCAGAGACCATAAGACTGGGGGTGAAGGATGATTCTGATCGACCTTCCACCAGCAATTAAAATGTCTTGCTATCTGACTTGCTGCAGCTTTTAATGCACACTCTGAGAAGTTCACAACTTGCAGTGAAGTCAAATTAAGCATTTTCAATTTAGGAGAGCAGTGTGTACAAGTGTGAAAAACTAAAGTTAAGAGTGGAGTTCAGCTTTAACAATAGGTCTTTTGAAGTGTTTTTGAACATATTGTAAGTGATTGTATGAATATGTTCGGTATGTTTCTAACACACCATTCATTGTTTTTCAGTTTTTTGATGCACACAACGAACAATATCCTACTACTTTGGTTCACATGCGGCATCTCATTATTACAACCTGCTTGATGCACACACTCCACTGTGTTTGTATCTTAGGGTATGTTCATACTGGTTTTATTATAGCAGAGTCCCAACAATAGCCAAAGCATTTGCACCTGCAAAATAGACTGCTGGTAATTGTTTCTGACCATTTTGCATTGGAGGGGGCTTAAGAAGATTCTGTATACTTAAAGGTAGGTGCAAGATATAAGAACGACTACTGCCAGGATCCCTCACAAATGAATCAGCAGGTCAGCACTATGCTGTGCTTGTTCTGAAAAGGCACTGATTACTGTCGTACTGTCTGTACATTGCCGCTGCAGAGCCTGGTGCCCAACTGTGACATGCAATGTTATGAATAACAACAATAATACAAATAGTTGTTGTAATAATAATCATAATAAGAAAGAAAAGTTTGGAGACTCTCAGGGCTTTATCAGCTGGAGAATATTGCCGAATGAGTGTTCTTCTAAACATTCCCCTGCTGGACAGAGTAAATAGTTTGTTATCTCTGGATACACAATGAGTTTTTTTAGCTTTGGCTCCTTATCTTGTTCAGAGCTGTTCTGCTACTCAGTTATTGTTCGTAAATAAATTGCATTTCCTTTTGTGTAGCACTTGTCCATCTTTCCATTGCCTTCCTCCTCTTCTCCCTCCCAACTCTTTATGCTCACAGCATTTAACCCTTCAAAAGGAGAATTATTAAAACTCAAGCTTATTTAGAAAGATCTATAATTAAAAGAAAAAAAAATGAAAAAATAAATAAATTATATATATATATTTTATATATATATATACAGTATATATACACACACTATGCTGCCGAAAGAATTGGGACACCCCTCCAAAGCATTGGATTCAAAAGTACCAATCACCTCCATGGCCACATGTGTATAAAATCAAGCACCTAGGCATGCAGACTGCTCCTACAAACATTTTTGAAAGAATAGGTTGCTCTAAGGAGCTCAGTGAATTCAAGCAGGGTATAGGTTGCCACCTGTACAATAAGTCCATCCGTGAAATTTCCTTGCTACTAAATGTTCCATGGTCAAATGTTAGTGGTATTATAACAAAGTGGAAGCAACTGGAAACATCAGCTACTCAGCAATGAAATGGTAGGCCACGTAAAATGACAGAGTGGGGTCAGAGCATGCTGAAGCGCACAGTGCACAGAAGTCGCAAACTGTCTGCAGAGTCAATAGCTAAAGACGTCCAAACTGCATGTGGCCTTCAGATTAGCACAACAGTGCATAGAGAGCATCATGGAATGGGTTTCCATGGCCAAGAAGCTGCATACAAGCCTTACATCACCGAGTGCAATGAAAACTGTTGGATGCAGCGGTGTAAAGCACGCTACCACTGAACTCTAGAGCAGTGGAGACATGTTCTCTGGAGTGATGAATTATGCTTCTTTGTCTGGCAATCCAATGGATGTGTCTGGGTTTGGCGATTTGCAGGAGAACGGTATTGACTGCATTGTGCCAAGTGTAAAGTTTGGTAGAGGTTGCTTATGGTGTGAGGTTGTTTTTCAGGGGTTGGGCTTGGCCCCTTAGTTCCAGTGAAGGGAACTCTAAAGGCGTTAGCATAACAAGACATTATGGACAATTTCATGCTCCCAACTTTGTGGGAACAGTTTTGAGATGTCCCCTCCCTGTTCCAACATGACTACGCACTAGTGCATAAAGCAAAGTCCATAAAGACATGGATGAGAGATCTTGGGGTGGAGGAACTTAACTGGCCTGCAAAGTGTCCTGACATCAACCTGATAGAACACCTTTGGGATGAATCAGAGTATAGACTGTGAGACAGGCCTTCTCATCCGACATCAGTGCCTGACCTCACAAATGTGCTTCTGGAAGAATGGTCAAACATTCCCATAGACACATTTCTAAAGCTTGTGGACAGCCTTCCCAGAAGAGTTGAAGCTGTTATAGCTGCAAAGGGTGGGCCAGCTCAATATTGAACCCTATGGACTAAGACTGGGATCATTAAAGTTCATGTGTGTGTAAAGGCAGACATCCCAATACGTTTGGCAATATAATGTCTATATATATATAGTATATATATAAAATCAGCAACATTTAACATGAGAACAGAGCACAAGGACAGGCTTGTTCATCAAATAGTTTTCAACTACTCAGCAGTATGACAATGGTTGCACTACTATTTGTGTTTAGTTGTACCAGCAGATGTTGGGGTGGGGTGGGTATTTCTTATTTCTAGACACACAATGATACATTTCTGGCACCTGAAGATCAATTATAAATATAAGCATAAATACAGATTTAAAGTGGTTCTAAAGTTAAAATATTTTTTACCTTAAAAGAGTAGTGTGGACTTATTTTTTTTTCCCCAATTATACTTACCTAGGTGGATGAAGCATTGGTTCGATGCTGCATCTTTACCCTGCCAGCTCTAAGTGTGAGAACTCAGCGATCACATGACCGCTGATCACTGAGTTCTCACAGCCAGTCTGAGCAGAGAAAAGGACTGTCACTCACCGCTGTCTGCTCTGCCCCTCCAGCGCTTACTGGAGCGCTGGACTATGGAGGGGGAGGGCTCAACTGGCTCAGGGTCTCAGCGGCTCACTGAGAGTCTGAGTCAGGTGCTGCTCCAGACTCTGGGGTGGATCCCTACTTTGAATCACTTCTCCTTTAATGCATTCACTGCATTAAGATAAAATGGGTTTTTTTTTTGTTACTCACCGTAAAATGCATTTCTCTGAGTTCGTTGATGGGCACATTCATTCTTGACCATAGGGACATCCCAAAGCAGAGCCAAACAGTAAGGGGTGGGAAAAACCAAGGCCAAAACCAAGCCAGCAGGAGCTCAACAGGAACACAGGAGCCCAACCAGAAAACAACCCCCAAAAGAGAGAACAGAAACCACAAACAACTACTGGCAATATTTTGCAGCCAAAACATGCATCTGAAGATGAAAAGACATCCACCTTGTAAAATTTCATAAAGATGTGCACAGAGAACCAGTTAGCCACCTTGCAGATTTGAGACACAGATGCCTGATGACGGAAGGCCCAAGAGGCACTAAGAGCCTGGGTAGAGTGTGCCATTACGGGAAATGGTAGCAGAAGACACTGCCACAACTCTTCTTGGCCCATCCTTGATCACAAAAAGGGAATCCATCCTCCGAAAGGACTCTGTAACAGACAAATACACTCAAATTGCTCGAATCACATCCAAGGCGTGCAGAGCGAACTCCTTAGAATGCAGTGGGTAAGGACATAAGGATGGTAGGACAATGTCCTCGTTTAAAATAAAGCCAGAGACCACCTTTGGGAGAAAGGAAGGACACGGAAAGAGAACCACCTTATCATTGTGCACCATCTAAGAAGGATATCTACAAGACAAGGCTGCCAACTCTGACACTCTGCGGGCAGAAGTGATAGCCACTAAAAAGGCCAACTTTTGCGACGGAGTTAGAAAGTGAATCTCCCTGATATTCTCAAAGGGATGGTTTTGGAGAACAGCGAGGACCAGATTCAGATCACATGGTGGCAACAGGGAGCGCACATGAGGTGCCGCATGCCTATCTACTTGACCGAAAGCAACAGATGAAAGAGTGTCAGGCTAGAGGACGTTGAGAGAAAATGGCCAGAGCAGAAACCTGACCCTTGATGGTACTTAGCACAAGCTTCTTCTCAACACCCTGTTGCAGAAAAGACAAAATTTGAGCCACTGAAAAGGAATGAGGATGAACCCCTGCAGCCTCACACCAGAAATATATGTCTTACAGATGCAATGGTATATCCTAATATAAGTAGACTTCTGTGCCTTCAACATGATAGGAAACACTAACTCTGACAGACGCCTGTCTCTCAGAACCTGGCTTTCAATAGCCAAGCCATTAAATCCAGTGGCTGTAAATCAGGGTGGAAAATTGGACCATGAGACAGAAGATCTGTCCTGAGTAGCAGATGCCAAGGAACATCCACAACCAGCCACACCACGTTGGTATACCTAGAGTGGCGAGGCCAATCCAGAGCCACCAAGATGACCAGAATGCCTTTGGCCCTTGCAGTATCCGGGGTAGAAGCTTGAGAAGAGAAAACACATAGAGGACTTGATACTGGTTCCATGATGCCAACAGGTCATCCATTGCATTTGCATGGGGATCTCTCATCCTGGCCATGAATCTCGGCACCTTTCTTTTGAACCGAGATGCCAAGAGATCCTCATCTAGAGTGCCCCACTGTAGGCAAATCTGATGAAAACACGTCTGAATGTAAGGACCACTTGTCTTGGTCCAACATTTGACAGCTGAGGTAGTCCGCCTGCAAATTTTCCACGCCAGGGATGTGCACAGCAGAGAGAGCTGGTACATGATGCTCTTCCCACCTGAGAATGCTAGGGTCTGCACGCGCTTGCTGGCCAGGCTGGGGTGACCACTGGATCTATATTATCCAGTCTGTCATCCAACCCAGCTTTTGATTGAAGATCTCCGTAGGAAAAAACCCAGGAAGAATGGAGAAATACAAAAATAAATGACAAAATCCTATAGAACCACAGGTCCCAGCAGAGAGCAGGGTCACTACTCCTGAACACTAGGAAGAAAAAAACTGAATTGCCTATGCAGAGAGGGGATTTCCATCAGCCAGGACTGCTCATAAGCGCGGTACCGAGTTTTTTTTTCTGCCTAGTGTCATAGTCCTGTAGGTGACAATATAACCCTATGGTCAAAAATGGAAGATGCTGTGACTGTCAATGAATAAAAAAGAAAAAATTTTTACCACTTGTTGTGTCCCCCCACTCCCCCTCCCCCCCCACCACACACTCACCTGAATTCTCTCCCAAATCAGTGTTGTACTTGGCTGCAGCTGTTCTTTCCCCTATTCCTAAACTCACAGTAGAATCAGGGAGCCATCGGTTCCTGCTGCTGTCAGTTAAATTCTATAAGGAGGAAGAGTGTGTGTGTGTGTGTGTGGGGGGGGGGGGGGAAGCACACTGTGTGTCTATGGAAGCACACAGCTCACCTAAGAAGCATGCCTCTACATGGGCCCCAATAGCACATGCAGGAGGAGTGGACAGAGTCTGTGGGGGGGACTCTAGAGGAAGAGGTAAGAGATCTCTGACCTCTGTTTGGATAGTGCTGATTGGCCCTGTGCTGATCACATGCACTCTCCCAAGAAAAAAAACCTCTTAGCAATACACACTAAACTGAGCATATGCAAAGGGCTACAGATTCAGTCTGTCTTATCAGCGTGGACTTTTGAACAAAAATTTTTATAAAAATAAAAAAACATAAAAAAAAAAAAATAACATTTTTTTTTTTTGCGTCCTTAAGGGCAAGACACTGATCGCAAAAAGTTTTTTTATAATTTGCTGTATTTTTTTAGATTTCAGTCTATCAAAGAAAATTTTATTTTTTTCTTAAATACTGTAAAAATTTTTATTTTAACTTTTTAGGATTACAATCACCATTTTGTAAAAAGATAAAAATGAAAAAAAAAAAAAGAAATTAAATTATTCAGGACTATCCAACAATTTTAATTGCAACGTTTAAAAAAAAAAAAAACTAAAAAAAATTTTACGAAATCGAACTTCGCTATTTTTTTTTAATACATATTGCTGGAAGTTTCCATTTGGCTATCAGCAACACGACCTGAAATATCAGCTCTGTCTTTAAAAAAAAAATTTTTTTATGAAATTTTTTAAAGACCTTAACATTATATCTGTGAAACTCTGAATATAGGCGCCTTTACTTTGACATTCTGCGGCGAAATGTGGTCAAGTTGTCAACTCTTCCCTCATCAAGTTAAATTGAATGGACCCCCTGGTTAACTGTGCGCGGAAGAAAGTCTCTATGAAAAAATTAGATAGAGAAAGACGAAGAATATGCTTTGAATTAAAAATTTATTAGTTTTATTAAATTTAAAATTTTTAAAATAAAAATAAATTTAAAAAATATTAATATAAAAAAATTAAAATTTATTAAAAAAAATAAAATAAAAAAATAAAAAAAAAAAAGATAAAAAAAAAAAAATAAAAATTTAAATATAAAAATAAAAAATAATTTTTTTAAATAAAATAATATAAAAAAATTATTAAAATATAATTAATTTTTTTAAAAAAAATAAAATAAAAATAAAAAAAAAAAAATTTTTATTTATTAATAAAAATAAATATTAAAAAAAATAAAAAAAAAAAAAAAAAAAAAAAAAAAAAAAAAAAAAAAAAAAATAAAAAAAAAAAAAAAAAAAAAAAAAAAATAAAAAATATAATGAAAAATAAAAAAAAATAAAAATAAAAATAAAAAAAAAAAAAAAAAAAAAAATAAAAAAAAAATTTTATTTAAAAAAATAAAAAAAAAAAAAAAAATAAAAAAAATTATAAAAAAAAAAATAAAAAAAAAA